TTCAACACAATGACGTACAAGGCGTAGTATTGCGACGAGTTGCAGAGCGCTCGGGCCTGTGGGAACTCGACCCACAGGTTATCGACGCGGCTCTCCGTGCTGGGTTGCGAGGAAGGGTTTGAACCTTCGGCTGTGTTGACCTCGTCGTTGTACTTCAAACGCAGCGTGTTGTACTTGTCGTATCGCAGCATGGCCGAAGTCTTCTGCACAGCGCGCTTGAAGCCGAATGGGTCGGTCTGGAAATCAAACATGACCTCCATCGGCACCCATGGCGGCCAGGAAGTCGATACTGGTGTGCCGTACTGGCTGCCAGCATACATGGATACGAGGTGGGTCGAGAACCACTTCTGGTGGGTGACGAAGAACTGTGTGCTGTCCATGGAGACCAGAATACGCCGTTGCACTAGGCCGCTGACCGCGTCAGACAGCCTTTCCTTGTCCATGATTTCGACAACCTTGAGTTCCATGCCCTTGGCCGTCAGCAGCACAACATTCTTCTTGTTCTTGTCACTCTGCAGCTGAATTTGAGGCGCAATGACCCGGACATGGTAGTTGCTCTGGGCCCGGAAGTCTTCAGAGATGCCTCCCGTCAAATCTTCCATGGCAACATTTGTGCTCGTGTCGGTGGCGTCGGCCTGATCAGCATTCACAAACTTGCGTCCGTCTTGGAGAATACGCTTGATACGCTCCTCGATGTCTTCTTGCGTCTCGCGATCCATGAAGCTAGGATCTGTCGAGTTGTCATCCGTGGCAGCCTTGCCGTTGGTAGTCTTGGTGCCGAATTTGGCCTTGTACTGCTCCTCAACAATGTCGATGATGAACTTGACGGCCGGGCGCGAGAGATAGTAGATGAAGCCTCGTCGCTGGCTCACCTGGTGCGTGTAGCGGAGAACAATGTTCCGCAGTAAATTGTTCCACTTGAAGTGCAGGTTGTGAATGACGAAGCGGTTTTGTGCGTCGCTCTCGAACTCAGCCCCTGACGGGATCTTCATGGACTCGCGGTCAACCTCAATCGATGCTTCAGAAGCGGCATCGCCTTTGAACTTGGGCATCTTGCCATGCGTTGGGGACTTGCTGGGCAGTTGTTGCACCATGTTTTCGAGCAATGCCTTCTTGACCCTAAGCACGCTACTGTGCCTTCGGAGTGCCTCAGAATCCGCCGCGTAAATAGCTCTGGTGCCATCATCGAGCACCATCTTCAGCTCGGCTTCACCGAGAGTGCGTCCATGGCCCTCAATTTGCACTTCCAACTGATCGAGGCGTCCCTGGATGAGATGCGCCTGCACACGCCGCGGTCATCGTCGCGACTCATCGATGCAGAAGTGGGCG